AACAAAGTTTTAGATAAAATATAAACAAAAAGGACACTTATACATAGAATCACAAAGAATTGAAATTTCTAGGACATTAAATGAAGAAAGAGTTCTTGGAAAATTTGATATTCACAGGGAATATTGAAGGCAAGAGAGATAGAGAAAAGTGGTGCATAGCCTACCTAACAAGCTTGTGGCAGAACAGGTATTAAGAGAGATGGCAAAAAGACAAACCTTACTAAAAGCTACAAAGGACAGGAAGTTGTGGAGAGTCATGATTGCACGAAGGGACATGGCATATAAAAGAAGGGGTGCAATGATGGTATATATGTCATCAAACAATTCTACAAAGTAAAATCTACACCCCTGCCATGTTGATCTCTTGGTAGTCAATGGAGACTTCATTTTCTCATCCATTAGCAACTGTCTTCCACACTCTGATTCCACTGACTGCTTTGATCTGATAGAGGAACTGTATTGATAAAAAAATGTCACACAGGTCTGGTGATCCAAAAACCAACTTTCAAACTCAGGAGTATAACAAGAAGGAAATGAGTTCCAATCTGTTTAATCTTTCTTAGACTATGCTTTATGTATATAGAAGCACAGATATGAAGAGATGGACACTGATCATTTAAGTGTTCTATACCACATCCGAAATGAATCTACTAATAGAAAATAGCATTGCTGTTTTCTTTCACAAGGCTAGTGTACTGATGATGACAAGGGGAAGTAATGCTGATGACATAGGTATTCATAGTTGGTATAAAACTGGTTTTGAACAAAAGAACAATATTCTTTACCAAGTATTTCAAGAAGTAGGACTTGAAATATTTTCCAAAATAGAAACTATGTTTTAGAATTGGAAAAGAGAGAAGGGATGAATCCATCATCCAGCAGAATCATATTCTACAAAACTAAAATATTGACCTGAAAACTTGTATCTTGTTCTTAAAAAGTATAGCATTCAACTCATTCAGAAATGTCTAAATTTCTCAATGATTAAAAATGACTTCAAACAAACAAATGCTCTAAATCTTAAAGTAGACAATTCCTCATCAGGTCTTATAGACTAGCACTACAAAATCACAAAGAACTTTACGAAATAACACACCACACCACTTGAAGTCTTTTGATAACAACAGCAACAAGAATGGTTTGAACGTGTAACTAGAATAGCAATTAATGATATAAACAGGCTGTTAACTTTCCATGTTATCAAAAATAGAAATTTTAAAAGGAAACACCCATCCAGTGGCAGACTGATCAGAGTATTGGTTTTTCTGATGGCAAGTGGGCCCCTGATGAAGTTGAGGCCTCCTATATCCAAAAAAAAAAAAGCAAAAAAAAAAGCAAACAACACAGATAACTATTTTAATAGTAAGAAAGAATAAGAACTTTATCATCATCTGCACATTTTAACTTACTCAAGTCATTTGCACATTATCAGTTACTCAAGTCATTTGCACATTATCAGTTACTCAAATTTAATGTGCGAGGACATTTTCAATGCTTAAGATCATAATGACAAGGTTAAGAAATTTGCTGTGTGAAAAGAATTTGGAACCATGCATGTTGTTATACATTGAAAAGGAATTCTTAGATGAATTGGATGCAGAAGCAATTATTGGTAGATTCCCACAATCATCTACTAAACACAAATGATTGCTCTTAATATAATGGACTGCATACAATGCTCTATTGTGCTTTTAAACTAAAGGGTGCAATGGGTAAATTGTTGCCATTTTATATTTTTAATTTTGTGCATTGTTTTTGATTTTGTCAAGTGCACAGTATAGTAGGGTCAGTTGGGCACCGTCTGTGAGAAAAAGAGCACCATGATGTAATTCACTCAGCCAGAAATTTGGAAATGACATTCTGTACTGCTTGGCATTCATTCTGGAAGTTCCAATATGAACATTTCAATCTGAGTAGAGTGTAGGGGATTCAGAAAGAGTTGGATGATATATCCAATCAACATCATGGTGTTTGGAGTAATCACTCTATTCATCTTCCCACAGGGCCTCAAACTCAACATGGAGACCTACATTGAGTGCTGTGATGAGGTAGTGCTTCCTTAGGTCAAGAGGGTGGCTGGTGGAAGACCCTATGTCTGGTAACAGGACTCTGCACCATGTCACACAAGCAGGACAACCCAGTCATGGCTGTCAGACAATTTCTGCAACCACATCGCCCCTTACATCTGACCACCTAACTTCCTAGATTGCAACCTCATTGATCATTATGTGCAGGGCTTAGTTCAACGAGAGTCCAACAAAACACTTGTAACAGTAAAGATGAACAGAAAGCAAGGATTATGGCAGCATTCACCAACTTAAACAAAGAGACTGTCCAGAAGAGTTGCAAGTGATTCTGAAGTTGTCTGGGGGCTGTGGTTAAAGCCAATGGCAATTTTATTGAATAAATTTACTCTTTAGTATTTCAAGATATTTTTGTGTAATTTTGGTAACTATATCTGTTAAAATGAGATGTCAGTGCTATTTTCATTTTTGCATAATTTTGACGATAATTCATCCATTGCACCATATATCTTTTAATGTGTTAATTGTGCAGTAAACTATTTGAAAATATGAACCAATTACTTAAAATTAAAAATAAATAAATAAAAAAATTCAATTATAACATTCTGTATGTATATTTGGTGTCTACTGCCAATAATATGATATATATATATATATATATATATATATATATATATATATATATATATATATATATATATATATACTGTATTTATTTACTAGGAAATACACATTTTCTTTCAAAAAGATTTTAATTGTACCATTTTTTTCCATATCTATTTTTGAAAATTTTATTTATTTATTATGAAAATTAAATGATAGCATTGTAGTTGTGAGTGGGGCCCCCTTTGTCACTTGGTAACCAATATTTTTAGATCCAGTCCCCTACTGCCTCCATTGATACTAGAAAGAGCTATAGTACTTGAGAAGTTTAATTTCATGAAAATCTGTGTTGGTTCCAATCCATTGAAGAATGACTGCAAAACCATCTTCCTCACCAAATTTATAGACAGAACATACAGGTGCATACTGGGATTTCTTCTTAGCCAATCAGATAAGGCGCTTCTCAGTTTTATCTGAAATATTTCTATTCTTTCTTGTTTTGAGGTCAGAACACTGTAATTGCTTGTCTGTATCCTTTTTTTTTAATTTGTGAACTTTTTGCCTATTACTGTTATTTTGCTTTGCATATATTATTTGCTTGCTTAAATTTATCTTTGCCCTGTTCTTTTCTTTTCATTCTTTTGTTATTGTTTATTGCAAACTTTGTCAGTTCTGTTTGTTGGGCATTTCTGCCAATTACATTTAATAATTAATCTACAAACTTTTTTAAGAAAAAGGTTTTAACAAATTTTACTTTCTGGCCAATGAATGCTGAATGTTTTCTGTATAGAAACAGCCAATTTCGCCATTGTTATTGATCATTAACTATTTTGAATTATTTTATTCTAAGGCTTATTGTATGTTTTGGTTTGAGAGGATCTAGCTATTAATATTCATTTTTTTTTTTTTTTTTGTCAGTTCTGAAGTCAAAGAGATGTAGGGTCATGAAAACACTTTATTATACAAGAAAACCTAAGTTGATTATAGAAACTGGAAACTGCTCTTGTTTGAGGTTTGGGAATTATGATTTAATCTGATCGTTCTTCATTTCTTGGAGTCATTCTAAGCTAACAGCTGTATGAGAATAGGCCTTTTTGTTTCTGTTGCACTTAGTAAATATATCTGTGCTTACAGTTATATTACCCAAAGCTGAAATTAATAATTATCAACTATCAAACAATTATTACAATAAAAGTTTAACCCTGTTTTGATGCCATTAAAATGTTCCAATTTTAGTGGCGATTGAGGTTGTAGAAAACCTGAAGATGGTTAGAATCCTGCTTACCTGTTTTAAGCATTTTCTCTTATTATTCTTACTGCTATTTATGACTCAATTAAACATAAAAGTTTTCTAGAAAGCCCGTGAGGTTTTTAGCCTGAGTAGAAAATTTAGTTGCAGCAACCAATATTTGACCACAGATAACTTTATTGCTTTTCTTCTTTTTCTTCCTCAGCTCTCAAATTGTGATATAACATTTTAGCAGAACATAGAATATTGGCAAAAATGCAGAAGAAATATTTTTATTGTATTTAGTTAAGTTTTTAAAAGCAAGATAAGGCTGTTATTTTTTTTTTTTTTTTGTATATTATATATATGTTAACCTTGTAGATTCCCCTAAGAGTGTAGGGCCACAGCTTCACAACATTAGGTGTTGTTGCTATGGTTTCCATAGCAAGTGGAATCACAGTTTAAATTCTGGTCAGTTTTATTACATTCACTTATACAAAAATACCCTTGGAAAGGGTATGAATCCATCTTCTTTCCCAGGTTAAATGGTAGGAGTTGTATTTAGAAAACTCATGGTTATTCTCAAAATATTGTTAATGCAAGATTCACTTGCAAAAAAAAATAATTAAGAAATTCTTATAATGTAAAACATTTCCGCTTTAAATAGCCCACAAAGGGGTTGATAAGTTTTTTAAAAAAATAATCCTAACTGGTTTTGAATTCAGAGTTATCCTACTCTTAAGTTGATTACCACCCAAGGCTTGAGAGCCAAATCTCTGCTGTCAACACCTAGCTGGTTGTCAGAAGAAGAAATGGATTTATACTTTTCCAATGGTATCTATGTTCAAGTGAATGCAATGACCTTGGCTAGAATTTGAACTCAAAATATCAATTCCACTTTCAAATCTAATAACCACTATGCTATAAGCATATCTCTTTTCCATCCTATAATGCATATAATTTTTCTTCCCTATAATGTATACAAATTCATAGATGGATAAACCATGATGTAAAATTTCAAGTTATATGAATGTCTTTTTCAGTGTTATCAATGTATGTGGATTTATTTTTTTATTTATGAATTGTCAAAGGTAATAAATGTTCACAGGTTCTATTCATAATGATAAAAATGTATATATTTTCAGGTGTTAATGCAACATGCTTAGTGAAGCAGAATTGTGTCCAATTAATGTTCCGGATTATTTCTCTATGCGGCAAAGGCCATAGCACTGTGTTGAAGCTAGCTCTGGAAATTCTCTGCAATTTGACCAAATCAAGTGAGACTTTCTTGTTTTGTTTACTTGCAATGTACAAATTTCATTTCACTATTTTAGAATTCTAGTGTTTTATGGGTATGATTTTTTTTTTTTTTTGTGTACTTCTATGAATCTTTTTTATTGCAATTGTATTTTCTAAAATCTCGGAAAAGAAATATATATATATAAAAAACTAATGGTAGGTTTTGGGTTATTGTACTAGTGATAGTGTTTCTTTTGATAACTAAATGCTTTCAGATATCACATTGTCCATGTTCCATTAAAAAGTTTGTCAGTTTCATCTATATATCTCGAATTGCTGAAATGCCCTGATCTCGATCGGGTATGAGGTTTGTCTGGAACTGATCCAGCCATTTAGCATTAACCATAAAATATCTTATCAAACTATTCCCCTTCCAACTTCAGACACTTATTTCAGAGTCCCTTTCTGCAGAGTCACTTTTAGCATTGCTATTTGCTGCCTTGCCACATTCTCTTTAATTTCATCCACAGTGTGAAATATCTTATTCAGCTGTGATTTTAAATTTGGGAAAAGCCGGAGGTTACAGATTGCCAAATTAGGACTATAATGGGACTGATAGATGTGGGTAATGCAATGTTTTGACAAAAAGATACTGCATAATGAGAATAATGGGAGATAAAGATATCCAAAATGACTAAATACGTACAGAAAGGGTCCATCATTGATAATTTCCCCAGTAGATGTTTTTCAAACTGACCTTGTTAATTCTTGTGTCGACCGTGGCAGCATCCTGGAAACTTATCATTCATGATTAAACCTCTGATTTCAACTTAGTTATTATCATGCAAATAAATTTGACAAGGTGTTTTTCCTTAGTAGACATCCGTTTATCTTGTGAGATGAAAGTAGTGCCCTATTTAGTCAAAATTCAGTCCTTTGGTAGTGAAACTGGAGTGACTTCTACAGACCCAACAATGATATACAGAGGCAGTGTGCTATCCAGACTATATCCCCTCCCCCTCTCGGCCATATTGACAAGATCCAAAGGAATGCAAGACATTTGGGTTTAGATTGGCTGCAGTAGTTGCTGGAAAGTTATCAGTGTTAACAGCCAACTGCCTTTGGGGCTCCACTCTGTTTTCTGTCTGGATTTGCTTCCATAGCCTTTTCCATATTTTGATATTGACCACAAGGCAGCTCAAATCAGGGTTTTTCCTTCCCCAAAATAGACTGCTTTCTTGAGCTGTCGAACTCTATCTGAAGCAGCTGGTTATGAGGTGCCAGTTTTCTTCCCCTTTTCCGGCTTGTAGTTGGGCTTAGTTGCCATAAACTATTCGCATGCCATGAAAGCATTTTATAGACAGTGGGAGCATGTCCCCACTATCACCTCTGGTTATGGCAACCTTTAGAACATATACAAATAATGTACATATATAAACATTATATACATTATGTGTTTTTGAAGCTCCCCCCAAAAGTGAACAATTTTTTTAAATATATAAAATATTAGGTAAACCAAAGCTCTAGAAAGCAAGAAAGAGTTGTACATAAATAAACAAACACAAATATCAAAAAGTTTCTTCATTTTAGAAAAAGATTTAATCTGGATTTAAGCCTAAAATAGTTGAAGATTATGAAGTCATTATTTAACATACAATAAAATAATCTATGCTATCTTTTTGACAGCACTAACACCTAAACTATCAATTGATAAAACTGAATGAGAATAGAAAATGCAAAGGTGATAAATATACTTTTAGGTAAACAAAAACAAAGTAAAAAATAAGACAAATGATCTTCAGGTTAGGTGTACAAAAACAAATAAATACTAATACAGAAAAATGCAGTAACTGTGGGAAAAGTTGAAAGAAAATGATGAAATTCTCCTGCATACAAAGATGAAGAGCTTAGAAACCATCATGACTCGCCACCGACTTCGATGGGCCTGACACCATGTCTAAATGCCAAACATCTGCCTAACAAATGCTTTTTTTCAGAACTTGTATCTGGCAAGAGATCACATGGTGTCCCATATAATCGATTCAATATAAGTATCGAATGAGGCATTATTTGACATACAATAGAATAATTTCTTATGCCTTTTTGACAACACTAACACCTAAACTATCACTCGATAAAAATGAAGGAGAGTAGAAAATGCAAAGTTGATAAATAGAACTTTAGGTAAGCAAAAACAGAAAGTAAAAAAATAAGACAAATGATCTTCGTATTAATTGTCTAAAAACAAATAAATACTAATACAGAAAAACTTGATAACTATGAAAAAAAAATTGAAGGAAATAATAATAATAATTAATTTTATTATTACTGAAGATATGATAAAGCCCTTTGGGAAGAGAAAATCCCTCTGGCTTGAAGTGAGTGATTAAATTAGTTTTGAAAAAGGCATTCAAACCTTCAATTTTTAGGTGATTCTTTGAAATCCAGAGGGTGGCCTATAGTGTATATATTTTGTTACTTGTAGTTAGATCTAAAACCTGTGTATATGTAAGGTTTTAATAACAATCTTAATTTTGGTACATTGAGACCATGCTAATAAAATGAATAACATGGCCTTGTAGCAACCTTGAGAATCCACCTGCTTTGCAAAGCAATGGAAAGCATACTGGTTAAGTAAGTTTTGATGATTGATTAAAATAGTCTTTTGCCAGTCTTGGCTTAATTCAAATAACAAGAAAGTGTAATTTCTGCTTTACAGCATGCAAATCCATTTACAAAAATGATTTGTAACTTTGAAATCTACTGTTGGAAAATTGTTCACATCTCCCCACCTCAAAAAATATATACAAGAATGGATCAATAAGTCCCTAGCCTGATATAATTATCAGTTGAATTTTGATCTGAAATTTTTGCTGTATAATGTGTGATCTTGATTAATATTCCCCACTGAATTAACCCCCTTCCCCACCAATTATTTTGGGGAAAAACATCTCATTTTCAGACAAATTATTTTATTTATTTTTAATATAGTAACTAAAATACCGAGGTACCTTGAAGTACCCCAGTGGTGGCTAATATCTCTACCAGATGTAGGAGTTGACAACCTCATTTCAAGTTTAGAAGGGCATAAAAAGAATCAAGATTGACGTATGAACACATCTGTAGTTGATTTTTGAATGTTATATTTTGGATGTGTTTAGTTGTTCATGTCTGAAAAAGACACTTTTGTTAAAAATGTATATATACATTTACGCTGGGGGAGGGGTTAAGTGCAATCGTAAGGAAGAAAATTATGTTGAAAAATAAATGCTTGCTATATAAAATAAATGCTTTTTTTTTTTTTTTTTTTTTTTTTTTTCAGCATTAGTCTACAGACTTATTGATGTACCTACATAGTTTTAATTCCTACTACTCTAAATGTTATTTTGTGGATATCCATGTTTGAGGAGATGCTCTATTTTTTTTTAAACAGCAGGAATTATGTCTGCTGACCTGTGCAATCAAGAGACTTAATAAACAAAATGTGCTCAGCAGCAGGTTTTGAAATTGCGGCCCCCCTTTGTAGAAGCTATTGTCTGATCTGGTGTGCTTTAGACTTCTTGGCCACAAAGAGTGTCACAGCTCAATGACCCTTTTTGAAGAATGCATATCCTCTGGTTCAGATCTTATTTTTGTGTCTGAAATGTAAACAAAGTACTTTCTAAGGAATTAATGGATCCTTTATCTGACATTGTTTTCTATTACTCTTTATTTGGGGAAAACTATACATAAATTTGTATATAACAAGAACAATTTTAGCCAAAAATAAAAAAGTGGAAAAAGTTTTCATGTGATGCATTTTGTCCTTTATCGCCTGTAGAAATTGCCACAACGTATACACAGAAGAAACTTCAAGGAATTTAAATAAAAGATTATATGAACACAAAATAGATCATTTACAACTCACCATAATGAGTCTAATCATCATTTTGATTTTAAAAAAATGCTACTCTAATTAAAAGAGAAGGCAATTTACTAAGACAAAAATCTATAGAAAGTGCTTTAATCACTAGATCATCCACTGTAAATTTACGTTCATGTTCTTAGAACAATTCATATTTCTTGTCAGATCTTTTATCACAACGTGGAATATCCAATAACAAAAGTGAAGGAAACATAAAGAAAAAGAAACTAAATTAAATTGGCTAGGCTATATACCCAAAAGATATGCTTAAATAAAATTTAAGTTTAAAATTCTCACTGTCCCCTCTCCTTTGTGCACATGTGTAGTCACATCAACATAAACATCACTTTTGTCCAGTGAAATCTTAAAGGATGAAATGCATCACACAAATACTTTTTCACTTTGTCATAGTTTTCTTTTTTTTCCCTAAAATAGATTTATTTCTAAAACAACTATTTGTATGCGCATTTGGCAAGATTTTTTTCCCCTTCAACTTCAGTTATTTAAGTTCCCTAAAATTTCTTACTTGTACCTTTGAAAAATGATATGGGATAAAAAAAAATAATTAAAATGAATGGGATTATTTACATTTTTTATATTCCGACTGTTGTCCTCATCTTTGTTTTATTGCATCCTCCAGTCGTCATCAGATGTATATTGATCTGGGTAACTTAAAGGGGATTCTGAATTGAACACTTTATTTAATCTACAGGGGTAGACTGTTCTTGTTCTAGGGATATCTAGTTCTTATTTTTAGTACTATTCAGTTATTCTTCACCCTGTTTCCACTGAGTTCAAGTACTCACTGCCTGGCCCAGGGATTGAACTCACAATTATCATGTCAACAATTTCATGACCCAACACTAATACATTATCAATTGTCCTGTAGGACAATTCTCTGTGGGGAACTTGGAGTCTTAAACCTAACCTTCCTGCTGATGAGTGCTGCTGTTACCTGAGAGCATAACAGCCAAAATATAATGATAGCAACAACAAAGATGGCAACAATAGTCTGAATGTAAATAGTATGAATACTGATAACTCCTCATCCCAGAAATTCAGACTGACATAATTTGATCTGAAATTTAAAATAATTTCATCTTTATTTATCTAACACTGAATTTGATGACTAAATTTTGTGTACTCATGGCTTCCTTAAGGTAATGTTAATAATTACTGTTACGCTATAAATACTGATCAGTAATCCAGTTCAAATAGTCATTTAATTTGAACATAAACTACTAATACAAATTAATCACTTCTCTAAATGGAAGTATAAGCCACTGAGAAGAGATGCTTGTTGATCTCCCACTGCTGTTTATGTTGTGAGGGATTTTGTAGAAAGTAGGAAATGGGATACAAACCTTACACCAGAACGCATCCATTCATAGCCAGTGTTATAAATACCTCTTCAAAACATTTCTTTTAATTATTATTTATTTCTTTGATTATAATCAGTGTTCTTAGTTGGAACATGTATTAAGGCTTCTTTGATATTTGATTTTGTAAAATGGAAGAAAAATTTATGTTAATGAGATGTCAGAAAATTAATATTGATATCAACAATTAAGTTTAATTCACTGCATAGTACTTAATTTATTTTTTTGCTACAAATTCAATTAAATTACATGTTTGGTTAAAAATTTTAAAATGTATTATTGAGTCTTTTTAATATAAAATATTTGGTTTTTATTTAAAGCGCTGATAACTGTTAGTAATTGCTGGGGGATTATAAGATTGCAAAGTTAAAAAAAAATGATTAAAAGAAAAAAAGGTAACATTAGACAATATTTTAGTTTGCTGTTTTCACTAACAATAATTTCTGTTGCTGAATACTTATTTTTCCATTAACTGCTTTTTTCCTTCTTTTATTAAACTCTGCTGTTTCTCAGGCCTGCTTGCTTGTCATGTGACCACATCATCACTGCTGATTGGTCATTATTATTATGAAAAAGAGAAGAAAAAAAGTATTTGTTTATTCAAAGTTTCTGACCAATGAGAATCTGAGATATGAATAACCGACTTTAAGATCACAACATAGATAGAATTGAAAGCAGGGAAAGGTCACTGCATGTCTAGTTTCAGTTTAAAGCAGGCATAGGAACCAAGTTTCACGTGTGATGCATTGTTGAACAGTTTGTCTTTGTAGTCTCAGCGCTGTCACCTGTTTTTGTGTTGTAGAGAGCAATGCTGTACGGTCAGTGAACGTTGACTTTATCACCTCCCTGCTTCACCTGCACTCTGAGTGGCACACGCTTGACACCAAGCACAAAAATCTAACTCTGCGGAAACTGATTCTGATTGCTTTAAAGAACTTCATCAACACGAGTAAGTCTGTGACTTTTGTAACAATCCTGACAGACGGCGGCAACAAAAAACAAAACATGATTTCAAACAAAACAAAAGCCTGACAAGGTGACATTCTTAAAAAGTGTTTGTTCTCTACAATTTGGTTATAGGCTTGTCTTCATGCATGAATGATGTAACTGCTAAAATGCACATCTTCTTTACTTTTAGTAAATGTTACCAATTGCATAGAAAGGTTGGATTAAAGGTTATGCACCATATTAATTGATGTAAGAAAATAATAGATATAAATATACATATATGAACCATATTAATTGATGTAATAATAGTTATAAATATACATATATGAACCATATTAAATATATGAACCATATACAGATATGCACCATATTAATTGATATAAGAAAGTAAAACAGTTATAAATATTGCAAATGTTCAACATGGGAATTAACGGTAAGATTCTGAGGGTGAGCAGGTGATGAATTTGCATCAAGTAAGTTGCATTCAGTGTTAATGTTAAAGCATTATCATTTTTAATTTGTGGGTAAAAAGTTTCAGTTTAAAGAAATAATTCATACTAGTTTTAGTTCAGACAAATACAAGCATGTAAAGGTATTTTCAATGGGACTGCAAATAAGAACTTTCACATTAAAATCGGTTCCCATCATTTTCATGGAGGTGGGAGCAAGTGAGTTATCTGGGCCAGACATCTCTTGGTGCCAGACCCCTCTTGGTACAGAACTGGCCAAATATAATCTATGAAATGTAATTAACTTAGCTTATAATATGTAACCTAAAAGAGTAATATGGCTTGTGAAAGAAAGAAAGAAAAAAAGAAAAGAAAAGAAAAGCTTATTCATTTTCTGTTGGAGTGATTTTGAGGTGTGTGTGTGTATGTGTGCGGGAGGGTGGATACTGTGGGGGGGCACTAGGTAACTTGATAGATTAACAGCTTGATCAATTAGGTGTTGTTTGTGCAACAGGTATGTATTTTTTATGCTGCACAATTTTATTGCTAACTATTTGCTTTATGCTGTTGCAACTTCAGCCAACTGTCAATAAAAGATATCTATACTATATCATAATTGATTATTGTCTAATTGTTGGATACCTGAAGATGGGAGAAAATGATATATAAATTTTTTTATACCAGAAAAATAGGAAATTTAATGACAAATTGGAAAATTTTTTGGGGGTGGGGGATTTTCATCCTTTAGGACTTCCTTGGACTAAAGTGATTTACGTTGATGTAACTGCACAAATGCACCAAGATAGTAATTGTTTTTACAAGTACACAGTTTTTTTAAATTCCTCCTCCTTAGTTCCATTAGACTTCTGCAGAATACAGGATGAAAGGTTCAGCACACTAGTGCGCTAGTGTTGCTCCAGTTTTGAATTCAGAGCTGTCCTTCTAGACTGGTTGCCAACCAAGGTGCTGAGTTCATGCCTTTTTCAAAGGTATTTGTGCAAAAGTGAATGCAAGAAACTCAGTTGGAATTTGAATCTGGTATGTTGATCCCACCCACTGTGCTGATAGCTGCTAAACAATCTGCACATCAACATTTTTTTTAATTAGCAGCTATATATATATATATATATATATATATATATATATATATATATATATATATATATATATATAGTATTTTGTTCTCGGGCAGATTTAGGAACAGGTTTATGAGTTCAGTTTTTAAATAATCTAGAATCTTGAGAAACAGTTACACAGCTTTGATGTAACTTGACAACTGATCAGAGGGGGATCTTACTGCACATACCTAAATAGATACTTTCCAGTGGGGTTACTCAGTCAGCAATGAGAAGCCATTGAGTGAGCTTGTGTATTGTGTGACTATTGTATTCACAGTGACAATGGACAGAGATATTTTGTATAATATCACCCAGGTCTGTCAGATCTCGTTCCCTCAAAAAAATCCAAATTTGAATTTTTGCTATTTCTATCTTTTCTCAGAGCTCAATTCAGCTTTGAAAGGAAAGAAATTTCAAACCATCAATCTTAATAAGGATTAAGGGATTTAAAAAGGGTTTTGACTTAGGAAGACTGTTTTTTTTGGGGGGGGGTGTTCAGCGCTTTAAATAGTTTGATCTCTTTCAGATAGACTTTGTATATGATTGCTTTGGAAATTTTCTGGTACAAGTACTTGACTAGCTATTTAAGAAAGAACTTAACATAGGTTTGAAACCATTTGTTCATTTGATGCATTTTTTTTTATCATTTCACCCCAAGCAAGGCAATAAAGCCACTAAGATGCAAGGGGTTACTGAGTTTTAGAGAATATGAAAAAAAAAGCAGCTATTAAGGAGAGAGGGCAATAAAAAAAATAAGAATTAAAGTCGGTATGAAGTCCTATGCACTTACCACTGAGCTATCCCAGCCAGAAACAAATTTTGATAGTAGTTGTTTTCAAGTATACATTCAAATAGGTTTATTTTAATGAACTAGAAATTGTTACATCTTTTTATTGGGTGGGTGAGGTTCATCATCATCTGTAGTTTAAAGATCAAAAATGAAATTTCTATAATTATAACCAGAAAGAAGAGCTGTTGAATACTATACTTTTAATGTCTGCTCACTCCTCAATGTTTCTTTAGTTTTTTTAATTTTCTGTAACCTCTTGCATCTTAGTGGCTTAATTGCCTTGCTTGAGGTTGAAATGATTTAAAAAATCAGAAAAAAAGATAAAATTTATATTAGGATTGCCTCTCAAAGAATATTTGCTAGTAAAATACTGCATGATTAGTCAGTCAAATCATTGATGGTACCCTCAGAATCTAATTAGGAAATGATCAAGTATGTGTTGTAACCTAAGGAAGGTTACTGAATAGAATAATCATGTAAAGGTTGATAATGAATGATAATACTTAGGACAAGAACAACACATATAAAATTCACCAGCAGTGTGTAGAAGTAGTAGTCAACTACTAGAAATGAGTCAAGTGAATTCCACAATGAATCTCCAACTACAGACCAACATACAGTATTCACTACTGTATTTATGTGAATGGGGACATAACCATTATCATCCATAGGTATGCTACAACAGTATGGTGCATAATTTTTGACAGCATTGAATCAATTCTTCTATTTTTGGTTTAGTGCTATATTTTGATTGCAATATTTAGAAACAAATTTTGTCAGCATCAAGTGTCAAACATTAATTTCTTTTTTTTTTTATAGAAGAATTCAGCAATTTTTGTTTTTATACTATATTTTGAATATATTATTTAAAAAAGAAAATGGCAATATTGGATCTTTTTGCATGTAAAATCCGGATTGTCAAAAAGATGGTTTTTCCCTTGACACCACTATTATTTTAACTACCTTCACTCATCAGTGTTTGTTTTAAAAAGTGATTATTAGAATTGTAATAAAATCTAAACATGATGAAAGTGAATATATACATTTGTTTTTGAGAATTTACAACAAAAATATTAGACTATTTATTTATTAGATTTTTTATTTACAAGAATAATTTTATATTTACATTCTAGAAACTAATACAGTTGTATTAAAACTAATAATGCAAGGCAATATTTATGATTTACTAAATTATAAAGAAATAAAATATCAAAAAATGTATTCATAAATTTATAAACATTTACTAAATTATCAAAATATGTGAACCAACTATAAGGAAATACTTATTATTTAGCATTTTATAAAGTTTGAATTGATTGGCATTTAGCTGATGTTTTGTTAACTATTCCAATAAATAATCTAATAGTGTTTATTATTGTTGATGTCAATTCAAAAGAACAAAGAAAATGTATAAATTCATTTTCATGTTTAGGTTTTATTAAAATTCTAATCATTGTTTTTTAAAATGATAAACATTGCTGCGATAGTTAAAATAATAGTGGTGTCAAGGGAAAAAATTGTCTTTTTGACACTGTTTTTTTTTTTTTTTTTTTTTTTTTTTAAGCATAAATGTCCAAGATTATCAAAAAAACTCTTGACAGCCTTTAAATCACTTTAAAAAAAAAAATTAAGATTGTTCTTTTCCTCTTTCACTTCTACTGTAATGCTGGTTGGTATGAATTCCCTCCCTTGCTTAAAACAGTTGTCTGCAAAAAAATATTCACTGGCACTAAAATTTGAGATTGACCAAGTATTGTTAATAATATTATTGTCTTAGTCACATTACAACTTCATTTTCTTTACTATTTCACAGTTAATTGCACTTTGCAATGCCTGTCCTTTTAAAGTAGCCCATGAGATGCCTTCTGTCTCCCATATTAGCCAATAATCATAATTCCTAAGGCACCAGATTTCTTTTCATTATTCATGTGTTGTTATAAGCCAGAGGACAGAAAGTGTGGCACTGAAATCCAAAGGTGCATTGGGATAATGAAAGATAAATTCCAAAAGGTGAGCAAAGTATTAAGAAACAGAAAAAATTCATTAGAAACAAAAGGAAAGAGTACTGAACTGTTATATAATGTCAACCATCGTCTATGGCAGTGAATAAGAGACTTGAAGCAACAGAAATAGGATTCTACAAAAGGATGCTGAGAATGCCATGGACTGAACATTTGAGCAACGATAAAGTTTTAGAGAAAATGGAAACAAAAAGGACACTTATACTTAACATAAGAAAGAATGAGTTGAAATTTCTAGGGCATATAATGAGGAAAGAGGGCTTGGAAAATTTGATACTCACAGGACAGATTGAAGGCAAGAGGAAAACACATAACCTTCCTAGCAAGCTTTTGTAAATGGATGACAAAATAGAGTTTAGGAGAGATAACAAAAAGACAAGATTCATTAAGATTGCCAACATCCCTTCTTCCAAGATTGTCTTAGATAAAATGATAGTTTTTAGAAAGATCAATCCTAACATAAACTGTAAAATTGCTTCCAGGGAAAGGAACTCCTTTTTAGTTAACCACTACTTGTATCACTTACATAATTCACAATAGAGGATATAATGTTCAAAGACTTGTTGTTCTTTGCCATGGAGTAGGAATCTAGTCTTGAGTGCCATTACTACTATATTGACTAGGTCTTATTAGGTGCCTAAGTTAAGAAAAGTTGATGTTTATTGTGGCTCCATTTCATGGCTGAAGTAGTTGCATATATTCACCAGCACAAGTATTCACTGTAAAAGCTAGGATTTTGAAAGCAGATTTTATAAGGCAGTCATGTTCTCTCTATTTGGAAGATTACCACAACACAATCTTCCTACTCAATATTGGCTTTGTGCCAGACTAGTTAATTTAAATATCTATAGTATCCCAGTATTGAGTAAATCATTGATTTTAGTTTTTATTTTTCATTAAATTACATTTGACTTTAAATTATATACAATGGTTTTATATATATATAATTTTTAACTATATTTCTGTTAACTGTGAGAATTGTCTTGTAATAAAATCAATTTTTTTTGTGCTTCAAGTAACAAAAATTAACCTACCATTACTAATTTTTATTGATTTCCCAGAAGATGCCTTTTTTAAATTTATTGTAGTTTTAAATATACAAAGGGGGTTTCTGAATATTCTTGTTCATGCTTTAATTTTTGGAAAACTTTCACAATTATCTGGACAAAATCTGTCAAATACTTTTACCCTTTACACAAGAGGACATTCTTTTTACATGCTCCTTCATAATGACTCATTCAAGATTCATGATGGCAATGAGGTCAGGTAAATTTTCCTTTTGGTGGGTGGATAGGGAATTAAGCTATTCTGAGCAGTATACAAATTGGATGGTCAGTCAAGAAACTCCACAGAAAGAGGAAAGAATTTGGTTCTGCCCAGTTCATGTCAAAAACACCAAGGAAATTTAAGGAAGGCACATCTGGGTTTGATTTCAAGGGACACATTACCATATTTAAAATGCTTGAATCAGTTTTGGGTTGCATGGTTTAGATATCGTTTCATTTTTTTCTATTTTCTGAATTCTGTGAGTAGCATCAATGTCTTTGAGGTCTAGTTTCAAATAATGTCTCAAAAATTACCAAAATCTCAATACTTTTGTCATAACATTTGAAATAAAAGGTTTAGTAGTTGAATAGTATTGATGAAATATATAAATAAATAAATATAATGGGCAAGAAAAGTCGGTTAAGCCTTTTGGTGAGTTTCTCCTGTCATCAAACAAGCTTGATTTTGGCTGGAAACTTGTAAAGGAACTTACCAAAATTGTGTGTAATGTTCCAACATCAAACAGGTGAAACTCACCAAAAGACATAAGATTCACAGTCAGTTTTATTTTCTTGAAACAAGGAACTGCTGTCTAAATATACTGTTTAAAATATATACATATGTACATCGTATGATTAAGATAGTGGAGTCCTAGGTATTCTTTAGATGTGTACATGAAATAAGAGTACCATTAAGGCTGACCACAGTTGAGGTCATAGTCATTGTGAACTTTATAATCCTTTCTTTAGCTGCATATCATATGTGATTCACCAGGGCTAGATATGCTTTTTTTAAAATTCAGAGTTGTTCTTTTCCTAAACTGGTTGCCAACCACAGTTATGGGACCCAGTCTGTCCTGCTGTTTTACCCATAGGTCGGAGGAGTGAGAGGGATTCATTTTTGCATGTAACTGAATGTAACAAACATGACTGGAATTTGAATTCTGCTCTTTGATTTCTCATTCCAAGTCACCATATGTTGCACCACATGCACATAATTAAAGTGTATGCATATCTTTTAGAGTAAACATCTGTAAAAAACAATAATACTTTTGAACTGCTAATATTTAAAATTTATTTTTCTGTTTTTTTTTTTTAAATGCTGATTATGAAAAAAAAAGTCTAATTTGGGATGATTACTATGAGTTAATGGTGGTTATATAAATAAGAAGAGAAACTAAATTATTGAATTTATTATTCAAATTTAAAAATAGGGAGTGTTTTTTATTTTGATATCATAAATACTTATAAAGTATTAAACAATATATAGTTTTCATACTAATGAATAGTTCAGCTTGCTATTTTACAAGGGGGACTATTGGGGGGTTAAAATTTTTTTTTTTTTTGTTACATAGGATATTAATCTGTTTTACCAAGTTTTGGTTTTTAATTGCTATTTCACCATATTGACCATTAAACTTAATCTAAGTGAATTTCCAAGTAAAAGTCCTACTAGAATTCATTATTGATATCCATAATCTTAACAATGTAAGATATGCAGATGACACATTGTTGATGGCTAACACTGAAAGAAACTACAAGAACTCCTACAGAAGATAGTAAAGGAAAGCTAGAAGAAAGGACTAAACATCAATTGCAAGAAGACAGAATACATGGTTGTTAGCAAAAGGTACAGCTCAACATGCAAATTACCAAATGGGGATGTCAAAATCAAACAAACACAACAATTTAAATATCTGAGAAATGTCTTAACAGAAAACGGAAAGTACAACACTAAAATCAAAAGGAGCACTGGGATGGTGAAAGTTACCTTCCATAAGCTAAGCAAAGTATTAAGAAGTAGAAAAATTTCATTAGAAACAAAGGAAAGAGTACTGTTATTTAACTGTTATGTAATATCAGTCCTTCCATATGGCGGTGAATGCTGGACAATCTTCTCACAGATGAAGAAGAGACTTGAAGCAACAGAAGTTTTACAGAAGGATGCTGAGAATATCATGGACATGTGAGCAATGATGAATTTCTAGAAACAATGGAAGCAAAAAAGACTTACTTAACATCAGGAAGAGATAGTTGAAATTTCTTGGGTACATAATGAGGAAAGAGGACTTGGAAAATTTGATACTCACAAGACAGATTGTAGGCAGGAGAGACAGAGGAAAACAATGCATAACTTACCTGGTGAGCTTTTGTGAATGGATGCCAGAGCAGGGTTTGGGAGAGATTCTGAAAATGCAATTTATTGATTGACGCATAGGACAGAAAATTGTTGAGAGCTATGATCACCAATGTCCTGGAGGGACATGGCACATAGAAGATGATTTCCTCTTGGTCTAAAAGTTGGTTAAGCAGCATTCAACTTGGTCAATACCAAACAAAGTAAATTTGAGGAAAAAATTCTGATTGAAAGCCGGAAGACAACTGTAAAGCAAAGATTGGTGGGAATTTATTGCTTCATCTAAAAGGTAACAATTCTGAAGAGCACCATAATCAATGCTATATTAAAAGCAAGCAAAGCATTGTGGGAATGTAAATCTTGTAATAATCAACATAGGGATATTTTTGATCAAGATTAAATTTTGGGTGGGAAGTGTTTAAATTAAAGCTGCAAATGGATTAACTGTGTGCTTATCTATAAAATTTAAGTCTTTGTATTGCTTCAGGCTTGTTAAATTAATGACCCTTTGCAAAAATAATAATAATAATCTCTGATGTAAAAATAAGGATCTCTTTAGTTAGGGATATTGGAACCTTTCAGCTAGGGAGAATACCAACCTGAGAAAGTTCCCATGATATGGAAATGACAAGAATTAAATGAGCAGAATGAAGAAAATATAGATAGCTTTGGGGCAACTCAAGATGAAAAGCCGAACATTTTGTCAGATCATTGGTGATGCCCTACGTTTTTTAGTCCAGGAATTCTTTTTAAATAAAACGTTATTCATATTATGAAATAGTCTAAATGCAATTATTCTTGAGAGGAAACTTATGAATTTAACTTAGCGTATTTCATTTCTTTTTTTCAAAAGGTAATATATAAATTATTATTCTTTTAAGAAAACAACAACAAAAAAAAAACTAATAAAAAAAATACTGCTTAAATAATTAACAAAATACTAACCATTTTATAAGATTGTAAAAACTCTGTATTCCTTAATAATTTTCTTGCTGTTTGTCTATTTTCTTTGCCATTCAACAGCCTACTGTTAATATTTTTGCCTGAGTCTTGACTTATAACCTTGACATTTCCCTGACGTTTCCAGAAGCCGGGCGTGCAGCCTTTTTGGTGGCAGATGGGGTGAATATCATATTTAACATTACTCGAGAGTGTGTGAACTTGCGAAACATGGACAACTTAGTGCTGGTGTCAAGCCTCATTCTGAGAAAGTGCTGCCCTATTGACCTGCTGCCTCTCGATAATTTTGAGAGTTTGGTCACCTTTGACACTCCTGTGTCAGACATGTCGAACTCCCCATTACCTGGTGAAGACTCTTCAGGTGAGTTTTGGTAAAATGATTTGGTTAATGTTAATTTACTCATACCACATCTGTCTCTTACTTCTTTATTAATGCCAAGGTTATTTTTCTTGGGATGTCACATCTAAGTGTACTCTCAGATCATTTCACCCCAAGCAAGGGGATAATGCCATTAATGACATTATCCCCTTGCTTGGGGTGAAATGATCTGAGAGTACACTTAGTTCCTGGGAGTGAAAGAGAATGAGAAAACATTAGAAGGAACCATAAAACTCAGTTCTAAACAGGGAACAAGGGATAAACCTCTGCTCCTGTTCAAAAAGCAGGGAAGCAGTGTGAACACAAACCTATTTACTCATAGTGGAAAAAAAAAAAAGAGTTTAAATTTTTTAAAAAATTTAGTAAATAAAATTTCCAAGTTTAGGCAGAGACATTAGAAGTGTAGAATTAAACTAAGAGCATATGCAATTCAATTGCCTGTATTTGGGTAAGGTTCTGCTATTCCTTGATTAATTTTAACTACTTATTTAGATTTTAACATAGTTTAAGTTGTACTGTCTCCTAAAAATTTAGGCAATTTTATTTTTAAACACAGGAGAGAGGGGGGAAAAAAGTTAAGATAATTTATAATTTTATATATATATATATATATATATATATATATATATATATATAAGTACAGGGTTGGTACAGATGGAATTCCGATAACCAAAAAAACTATTCTTAAAAGTTCTCAATACTGAGTAGAGCAAATGATATTTATTCAAAGACACCATCACTTGACAAGACACCAGTAGTGTTGAAAGAAAATTGAAATTTTTGTAGTGATGCTATAACATGCATGTTATGATTTTGAATATATATATATATATATATATATATATATATATATATATATTTTGTTTTGCAGTGATTTTTTCCCAGATCACTTTGAGGGTGGGGGTGATTTAATTTAATTATTTTGTGCAAATTTCCGTGATTTGTTTTTCACTTAAAATGCAACTTTTAAAAGTAGTCCTATTATTTTGCTGTTCTGGTAGACCACAGAGTAAGATAAAAAAGCAAAAAGAAAAAAGTGATAAGTATCATCACCTTATCAGGAAGCCAAGAAAGCTGTGGCTCATAAAGATGACAGTCTTGTTAGATACTATCAGAGCACTGGGAACAATTCCAAATCACCAAAGGTGGAAGGTGTAAAATAAATAGAAAAGCTGAAAATTATGGGTAGTATTGCCAAAATCAATCCGTGTGAAGGAAAAATGTTAATGGTTGTAAGGCGACTGAGGAAATCAGCAAGCAATCTTGAAATGGGCTCTTAGAAAGCACAATGTGACCTCAGTCCCAGATGATTTTCAGCCTGAGCCTGTGCACAATATGATGTAGTGTTTTCTTATCCAAATGATAGCATTGTTGAAAGAACCTATAATACTGAGAAGAGTGTTGGAGTATTGAGGAGACATTGTCCTTTAAGCTCCAGATGAACAGCTGTACTCTTGAGGCTTCTTGCCTGGAATGTCTGTTGGAACTCAAACTCACTCCAGATCTCAAGTATGACTTGCATATACAATCCCTTGCTAAAGATCCTGGAAAAATGGTCAGTTCCTTATACTGCTACAGAAAGTACCTGACTCCTTCTGACATGCTCTATCTTTACAAAAGACCAAAAATAGAGTATTTCTGCCACCTCTTGGCTGGAGCTGCTCAATCCTCACTCTCCAGCTTTCATTTACTCAGCCTTGTGGGTGATGAATTATTTTCTACCCTTCAGCCCCTTTCCCTTTCCATGAAATATTGCTTTCTTCTCATTACTCTATTTACATTTTCATGTCAGATGTTCAGGTGAGCTAAAGTCCTTACTTCCTCCAGTTCAGACCTTCACATCTAAGACCCACCATGCCATGTACACTAATTTGACTAATCCTCATTCCTTTTTCATTCTATTTGTAAGAAGGATGTTCCACTCAGGCAGCTTTGTATGCCCTTACAACAACCTCATTTAGTGGCCCTCTATCTTGAGTGGTTCTTGGGGCTTGTATTGGGTGAACAATAATATAAAACAAAACAGTTACTGCTGGTGTAAAACATTCAATAAATAATAATGTTAGTTCATAGATTCACATATTCCCTTCATAGATCGGTGTGTGTGGGAGTATTGCTGGAGATAAAGTGACTGCATGTCAACTCAAATTTCTAGTAATTTTCTCAGTATCTTCACAACCTCAGCAACACTCTGATCTGGACAGTCTTAGTTCTTCCGTGAATCCATAAGACATTGAATCTTGCCTCTTGTGTTTTTGGCACTGTTCCAAGTATGCATAGCCCTTAATTTGATGTTCCATACTTTTCATAACTGCTAGGCAAGGTTCTGATATTTTCTTCTTTTTTTTTTTTTTGCTTTCTTTTATCTACACCCTGTGGTCTGGTGTTAATATAATAGTAATTGATTCTATAATACAAAGCACAATGTGACTTTATACATTTATCAGTCACTTTCCTTAATATGAGATATTTCATTGTTATGGTAAACATGACCACTATGCCTTATATTATCATAACAATGTGACCAGGTTGTTAATAATTTTTTACTTTTGTTTTGTACTAACTTTTGTTTGTTAATTGATATTTCTATTTTTAATGATTTTAAAAAGTTGAATAGGAGGTGGAAATTCTGCATAACTAGAGATTTATTCTAATTAAAGAGTGTTTATTATTAAAAACATAGCATTGGATAAAAAATTATGGCATTATCTATGTATGGATAAAGTGTTACAAATATCAAGGTTCTTAAATGGATTTCTTAATCCAACATTATTTCTTAATAGAGATGTTATTTTTAGTGGGTACATGTGTCTTAGTTGCTGTCTTGGTTTTGTTTTCATTTTCTTAAACAGTGAAATTAATAGCAATTGGCCTTGACTTTAGTTGGCCATCTTGATTTAAACCAGTTGATATTAATTTCACAGTTTAAGAAAAAAAAGAAAAAAAGCAATGATAGAAATTCAAACACATGTACCCACTAAAAATAAACTTTACAGTAATAAAAATATAAAGATATATAAAATTGTGTGTGTAAATAAAATTATATATATATATATATATATATATATATATATATATATATATATATATATATATATATATATTATATAAGACATTTTATGTTTATACATTCTTTTTATTAGATACAAATATTTAAGTAAATGCTCTGTTTATAATAAAAACAGTAAAATTGACCTTGCTAACTGAAACACACCTCTGTGGCGAAATCGGTAAAAGCACATCAGACTATATGACGGTTCCGTATAGGATACAGGTTCGATTCTTGTTGGAGGATGCATATTTTCTCTGACAATTTCTCGGACATTCATGCCGGTAAATGTTGTTAATACTGTTTATTATAAACAGAGCATTTACTTAAATATTTGTATCTATAAAAAATAATCTATAAACATAAAAATTTCTTAAAATAATTGTTGGACTTTGTCCATTTCATAATATATATATATAAAAATTTTGAGAACAGCAGAGTAGAATATGCACAACAAAAATGTACAGGTAGATATATGAGAAGTGTCAACCCTTTCCCAGAATGCAGATCGAAGGAGTCTTACATGTGATCAGTGTGGCCACATTTGCTTTTCAAAAGCAGGTTTTCTCAGCCACATGCAGAGTCATTGTGTTGACAACTACTAATATGATATTCCTGATAATCATACATGTGCAACCTGCCATAAAGCGTGTTAACCAGCCAGTAGACTTGCACATTTCCACAGCCAGCATCCACAAGGGCTCGATGCAGCCAGAAAATTGACATGTCAGCAAAAAGGGGAAGAGCTGCAAAACTCTTGCAGGGCTTAAAAGCCATTTGAGATGTCCTTGGCGATGGAATAATGATAAAATGTGTGAAAAATTTAAAAAGTTTGAGTGCAAGAGATGGTTTTATTTGGTCACGAGTTGACTTCTGCCATTTTATATATACCATATTTTCTAACTTACAAGACGCACTTTTTTTTCTAAAAAATACCCAGAAAAATATGTGTCTTCTGTGATGAATGTAAGTTAATGCCCAGGCTCAAGTAAGCTTGGACAGTCACCTAATTGGCTTTACTGATAGGGACATGGATTTGTATGTTGAGTCATTACACTATAATGTTAGCTATCTATCTAATTCATTCTATTATATGATGTAACCTCAGTACTTAGCTGTTACAAGTATTTCCAGGACAATAAACCTTCCTGGAGCTGAGCCACAAACTTAAACATGGTCTGTTTACTAGCAGCAGTGGGAGGCTTTCCATTCTTGACTAGTATGTCATTGGCATAGAAACAAAATCAGATGAGTGATTAATGTAAGCGATATGTGGGGCCAGTATGTGGGGTACACATGGTGAATGTGTTTTTGTATGAGAATGACTTTTTTTTCTTAGAAATTTATTTCCAGTATTAGGGTGCGTCTTCCAAGCTGCAAAATACAGTGTGTGTGTGTATATATATATATATATATATATATATAAGCAGCAAGTATTCATCCAAACAAGTTTAATTAAAAACAAATTTACAAGGTCTGTCTTTAATTTATTAGTGTAGTTTGCCAATTTTTGGATAGGGTGTTCATTATTGTGCTGGAAGTTGTGGATAAAAAGTTCAGAGTTCAAATTTTGGCATTGTTTTGTTCAAATATTTTCAACCATTGCAGTCATTTTCAAGTACCAATGTGGTGTCTGTGTAATAAGAATGTGTGTGTAATCTAAGGTTTTTCTTATAATGTTTGGGCTTGCTTCCTCTTTCAAATTTTTGCTTCTTTTTGTCATTTTCATTTGATCATTCATTTTCTCTTAACCATTGTGGAGGTGCTGAAAAGTTTTCTGCCAATAATTTCTAATTTTCGAAAAATTAAATGTTAATTTCCCTCTCCAAGTTCTCCACTGCCTTAACTGGGTATTGAACTCACACTCTTTGGGTCCTGTCACTAGATCTAACTAATGCCTTTATCCACTGAAAAGAGTGTGAGTTCAATGCCC